ACCTAAAACATATTAAAAGAAAATATAATGAATGAATTTTTAATATTAAAATGCACCAACATTTTCCCACTCATTTTAATGTAAAACAGACAGAAAGATACCAGGCAAAGACGAAGTATTATGCATCATTAAGGTGTGCTCTGCATTGAACCTTCACTCCAGAGACAATAGTGTGCTCAGCATTGAACTATGACTACTTAAGGGAAATAAAAAATACTGTCCATGCATAACAATCCAGGTGTTAATATAAGCTTTAATAGCCAGCACGTTGCGACCATGTGCTAATCCTGATTTCATAAGCGTATTTGAGAATAAGCCCAATTCTAATAGGAAGCGGTCATACATCCACACTGACATAGATGAAATCTATCAAGAGTGCTCATATAATATTACCTCACTCATAAGAGCTATGGATCTCATTAAGAGTTTTTTTTAAGAGAACTCATCCTCCAAAAGTATTACACGATAAATGCACTCATACCATATGGATGATAATAATAAGATAAATAAATAGATAGTGCATTTATACCATATGTATTAGAATTTTTTTAATGCATTTCTAATGTGACCACCATATGATTCGTTTTTCCCATTGAACCCAGTTCTCAAGAAAGGGGTTGGGTATTTTCATATGTGGCTTGTGTTTATATGTGCTTCAATCCCATCACCCTCGATGTACTCCAGACCATTTCTCTTGACAAGACCTTTGTTAATGGATCTGCAAGATTATTACAAAATTTCACGTAAGCAACATTTATGACACCATTACTTAGATAAGATCTCACAATACTGTATTTTCTCCAGATAAGTATGGATTTATCGTTATAATAAAGATTTAGTGTTCTACTTCTACCAATTGTTGCAGTTCTATCACAATGTATTGACACAAATGGAACTGGTTTTTCCCACAATGGAATTTCACATAATAAATCCCTTAACCAATATGCTTCCTCACTTGCAGATGCCAAAGCTATAAGTTTAGCTTCCATAGTTGAGTTAACAATAATTGTTTGTTTCTTAGATTTTTAGCATATAGCACTACCGCCCAATGTAAAAATATAACTTGAGGTAGAATGAGATTTTCCTGACGAAGTGTTCCAATCGACATCACTGAATTCTTAAAAAACAAGCCATATTTTTTTGTACCAAATAAATATTTCATTAAACTCTCTATGGCATGCCAATGATCTCTTCCTGGCTTGCTAGTAAATCTGCAAAGTATTCCTATTGCATATGCAATGTCAGGTCTAGTACAATCAGTTGTATAAAGCAAGCTTCTAATTATTCTAGCATATTCCTTTTGATTAATCACATCATTTTCATTATTCACAGGAAATAAGTGAATGCTAGAATCAAAAGGAGTAGTGTCATGCTTGCAATCATCAACATTCTGTCAAAATAATGTGATTGATCAAGAAAAATGTCATAACCCGTTTTTGTGATTTTCATACCCAAAATGAAATTAACCTAACCAGAATCTTTCATATCAAAATGGTTACAAAGCTTTTTGTCTCATTTATAACATACAAATTTGAACCAAATATCAACAAATATTCATCCACATAGTTACTAACAATGACATATGAATTTTCAGAAGCTCTGTAATATATGCACTAAATTTCCTAATGTAGATCTCCATTCAAAAGACAGCTTTTACATCCGCCTGATGAATTCCAATATTATTACCAAAAAAAATATTGAAAAAATCAAGGTCAGATTTTGTTTAAATCCTTTTACAATAAGTCTAACTTTGAATTTATCGATTGTACCATCTAGTTTAAATTTCTTTCTAAGGACCTAGTTGCAACCAATAGTTGTACAATCATGTGGTAATTCTTCCAATTTTCAAGTGTTGTTGGAGATTAGAGAATCCATCTTATCATTTACAACATCTTTTCAAAATACGGTATCAGGTGAAGTAAAAGTTTCTTATAAAGAAAGTGAAGTCTTCTCAGTATTGAAAACATAGTAGTCAAGGCCAAAAACTTTTTCAACTCTAGCTCTTTTATTCCTTCTAGGTTCAGGCCCTATTTGTTTCTGATTCTCAAATCAATTCTCATTTTCAACCACACATTCTTCAATAAAATAATATTTTCCATTACATCAATCATTTTTTCTTCTTTTTCAACCACACATTTCCCATCATATCACTATTCAAAATCAGTTGTTTGTTTCTGATTTTGAGAATTGATTTTCAAATCAATTCTCATTTTCAACCACACATTCTTCAATAAAATAATATTTTCCATCACATCAATACTTTTTTCTTCTTTTTCAACTACACATTTCCCATCATATCATTATTCAAAATCAATTCTTCCCCCAAAAATCCCTACCAAACAGGCTCTTAATTTGAAAATTTTCTTGGTTTGAAAAAGGTGTAGAAGAACTTGGTTGTGAGAAAATAATTTGACTTAATTCTTCACCCCATTATGTTTTGATTTTGAAAGGAAATTTATCTTTGTGAAAAATAGCATCATCTGACTCAAAAATAATATTATTTTCAATATCTAAAAATCTGTAGAATGTACAATTTTCTGCATATCCAAAAAATACAAGTGGTAGTTCTAACACCCAATTTTTGTAATTTAATCTGTTAGCCTTACAAAAGCTAAACATACCCAAACCTTAAAAATCTCAAGTTTGGCTTATACCTTTTCCATAGCTCAAAAGGTGTGATTTTTGTTTTCTTGTATGGCACTCTATTCAGCGCTACAACACATAACATGCAGTTAAAATTGTTTCACCTCAAAGATTTGAAGAAGTACTTGATGCAGGTGAGTATAGTGGAGTAGTCTCGTGAATTATTCCCAAAGACTAAACAAAAGAATTAAAAGTAATAGAATCATACTCTTGTTCTGCCACAAAATTTCCATCCACCATTTGATAGCGAAAGAAGCAACTTGCAGCATATTTCTTGCAACTGCTTCCTCAGTATCATATTTATTCTGCAAAGCTTTCCACATTTTCTTTGCAGATGAGTAAATAGTATTGTAATAATCATAAAAAATTATCCATTGGGCAGTTCAAGATTAACACCGACAATTATACTCATCACTATTATATTTTTCTACCTTCCCTTGATGAGCTTGAAGTTCCTCTTCATTCATATTGTCGGTAGAGACCTTGTTTGGATTCTTCTTAGTGAATATGCAGGAGACTTTGAGAATACTGAGGTAAAATAGGACTTTGCTCTTCCACATCTTAAAATGAGCTCCCTTAAAACGAAAGGGTTTGTTGAGATCTTCGACGTTGTCAATAGGCTTCTCAGGTGCTAACTCCACTTGTTTGAATTCTCCTTAAAATTGTTGGTGAAGTTTTAATAATACAAAATGGAGTTGTAAAATGAATAGGAAGATAACAAAATTGGACGGACTGAAGCACAGATATCTCGATTTCTTTAAGGAGATTCAAACCCTCTGCGGTTAGCAAAGCCTAAAACACGATGCAATAGAACTTTTCTATGACTTGTCCCCTTTAGGATACAACAACCCGACTATTCGTCATATGGCTCAAACAAACTCTGCACAAGTGGTTGAGCTCAAAACTCCACTAAAAGAAACATTCTTCTTTGCTCAATAATCTCTCAAGGAAAATGAGTGATAACATAAGGAGAAAAGCTAGAAGAATCGTAATTGTTGTGGTGGTGATGAATGGCATAGGAATAGTCATATTTATAGATAAAAATAGGCCACCCAAAATAAAGAGGTGTCATAAACACATGAACCGTTTCACCTTCCATTTCCAAACCTCCAACCTCTTCACTTTTCTAACTCCCAAAACTTAAAAACCTATTAAAAGAAAATATAATGAATGAATTTTTAATATTAAAATGCACTAGCAAGGTTGTTGACGTCGAAACTTAATAGATGGTTTGTAAGAGATAAATTGCTAAAATAGTAGAAAAAGAGATAAATCTGTATTAGAAAGAAAAGTTGTAGAGTGTGTATTGTATGTCCTTCCCTCCTCCCATTAGGGAACCATTTAGTCATGCTTATAGGTTCCCAAAACAGCGTACTGGCCTCCAAAAATGGATTATCTACAATACTTTCATTGATCCTTCGTTGATTCTTTGATGTTGGTAAGAACAACTCATGATGAGGTTGAACGGGGAGCAATTTTGGCTGCTTGGATAGAGGGAGAATGATAATAATTGTATTCATTCCAGCATAAAGAATCAGCCTCCCTTTTTCCTTCCATTAGCCTCTATTTATAAGCCTCTAATAGCCACTTGACCCTTCCACATCACATCAACTACAGTACCGAGCTGGGAAGGTACGCCAATGTCACCTCTTGATTGGTTGCCGAGCTCGACTTGTCAGGTCATCATGACTTTATCCTTACAGGTGGTCCCCAATAATTAATGCATTACTTAGGGGAGGATGCTAAGGTATTTGATTGGTAGATTTAGGAGGTGATGTCATAGACCTTTTCATGTGCACTCTCCTGATTGGTGGGTCATATATTCTGTCAGTGATCCTTTAATCATTATGTCTCCTGGTGAGGTCGGATTACCCCCCAGGTCGGAGCTCGTTCTGGTGAGGTCGGATTACCCCCAGGTCGGAGCTCGTTCTGCTGAGGTAGGATATCAACAAAGGTAACTAAAAAAATGCAATAGTTGAACAACAAAGTGACTCAGGTATTATGAGCTTCTACTCTTGATTTTTTTGCCGATTCTTGTGACGTGTAGGTTGATCTAACACAAAATTTTAAATGAGTCCACATTTTGACCCTTAACACAATTTTTTTTGTGCTTTATTTTTCGTAAGATATTTAAAAACGAGAAATCTTTGTGTGACCAAAGCAAATGATGTAATTTATTATTTTATCAAATGTGAAAAAAAAAAAAAGGACAGCATGCATAAAAATGGTGGCATGTTATGGAAATCTATTACAAAATCTGTAACAGCATCACTGGAATTCTATTACAAAATGGAAGCTAAAAAAGAGCAATAAATGGGAATTAATTTATAGTGCTGAAAGGAGAAAATACATAAGCCTCATAATGATCTGATAATGTCTGAAATGGATTTTTTAGTATCTTCTATCTTTGCTGAATCAAAATCCCCCAACTCCATAGGCAATTGACCTGTACCATCACTATCAACCTCCCCTTCAAGTGTCAAGCCTTCGATTTTCGCAGCAACGGCATTTTCTTTCACGGGTACGTCAATGTCTGTGGTCCAAAGTAAAAATAATCTATCACGGGTACATTTAACTTCATTATATATTGAAACTGTTGTTTATTCTAACAATTTAAGCTTTTAGATGAGATATGATATTCATGAGAAAAATTTATCCCTTGGGATGGACTCGTGGAAACCCTATTTTTGCGTCGTGAACAAAATAATACCATAAGCCTTAGAAAAGAAATTTAGAGAAAACTTTAAACTACCTGGATTAGAAAAGAACCAGAGAATGAATGCACACAAGAGAAGCACAACAGGTATGATATGAATGGCGTTTTCTGCAAACTTGGCGCGAGTCCTCTCCTTCTTAGCTGCCTCAGAGAGTGGTTCATAAACAGGCAGCTCACTAGTTTCCAGTGATAGTGCTCTTAGAGCCGGAGATGAACCCTTTGAAGAGCTTGGGGAAGGGGATAAATGGTAATTGTAGCGATCATCTGTAACTCGATTCGTGCTTGCTGATCTATACATTTTTTATGAAACAGCCCTAAATTTATTGCGAACAAGGCACTTATTATTTTTTTGTTTCCAATGCTATCAAGAATGGGGAAAAAATGGTTGAAAAGAGTGACAAGAAAATTGAGAGAGAGAGAAAGAGAGAGAGAGAGCACTAGTTGATAGCCGAAATCAGTGAAAGATTGTTATGGATGTTGACTGTTCTTGTGTTTGTTGCCAATTCCTTTGTGAAATATGTGGTAGACATTAGGCTTATATGCATCAGCATATGTTTATTTTTGGACTAAATCCAAATGTGTAACAATCATTTCTATAAATAGAAATCTGGATAAAATGTATGATCTGCTTTTTTTAGGGTTGGTTTGACACATGTTGGATTGGTGGAGAAACACCTTTCAACATACCATCAGCTTGCCTAATTAATAATTATAACATTTTATATTTTTCCTTTTCTCGTCTCATCTCATCTCATCTTATCTAGTGGTTTAATTGTTGGTGATGGTTTTCTCATCTCTAGTGGTTTATGGCATACATTTGTTTATTTATTTATTTAAATTTAATCTTTACTAGGTATTATCACATGTAACTTCTTTCTATCAAACTACTTAACACTAGTGAATTTTTCTAAGTGTCACTTAAATAAATTTAAAGAAGTAAAGTTGTAATGTGGTAGAACGTGCGTGAAAAAATCAAGTTCCACCAGATATTCCATGATGAGTCAAAAACACATTAAGCCACTGTTTGAGCCACATTCTCATTCTTCTACTCATTTTCAACCGCACATTCTTCAATAAAATAATATTTTCCATCACATCAATAATTTCTTCTTATTTTTTAACCACATATTCCCCATACATCACATCAAAAAATGCATTATTTCCTAAAAAATGTGCATCAAACACACTTTAAAGAATCGATATATATTTCCAAAACAAAATACACACTATATCCTGAACCACAACAAGAACCTAAAGAGAAACTACAACATATAACGATAGACTTGACATATTTGGCATGTAGCATTCGACGATATAAGAAAAGATTTAAATTTCTATTACTTTCTATTGTCTATTAGTGTATAGTCGGTCTTAGCGAACAAGTCAACGCTGTTATATTAGTAGAAGATGAAAGAAAGGGGGGAAAAGAAGATGAAAGACAGAAGAAAACAAGAACACATAATTGTGAACTCTTTCTTTTTAGCTGAAGAAATCTACTGCTGAATCTTGAGTGTCTTGAGAAAACTCTTTTCTTCTTCAAGATTATTCTTGGAAATGAAATCCAAGAAGTCATTGAAACTACTTTCTTTATATCCCTTTGGGTGCTCTTCATCCACAAGCTCTTTTGCAGTCTCCATTTTCACATCCATCCCCAAACTATGTAAACTAGCAATTGATATTCTTGTCTTTTCATTATTAAGAGTCTCCCCATGTACAACACTTTTGTACCTTCCATTACTTAAAAACTTCAAGATAATCCCCAACATTGACTTGTAGGGCACTATGAATTTGCGGAATTAACCTCCACGATCCATCGCCTGAGTCACATATTTCGAGGCCGTCGGCTGAGTTTTGGAGGACAATTGTTATGCAGGTTAGGCGGTATGCGGTGGAAGGCCTAATGCAAGTTCCGGGTTTGAGCATCGTGGATAGCAGTTGACAACCATTACTTGCATTCCATCATCAAGTTTTGTGGTCAAGTATGTTGGACATAGTCCCAGGCTCTCTGTTATGGCCCCCATGATATCTACAGCCAGTTTTTGCACTGCCACTGCATAGTCTCCCATTTTCTGTTTGTCATAATAACATTCAAAAAGTAATTAATAAAACATAAAAACGATGTATGCAACAAAAGTATATCGTTTCACTGTGTAAGCGGGACAAAGCATGTTGTCACAAACTCCCTTTTTATATTACACGTGTGAATACCTGAAAAATCCGTCTCACGTGTAATTTCACAATAATGAAATCAAACTCATGCTAGTTCCTAAAATTGGTTTAAAAAATGATTTATTGTCAACTAGAAACATATTTGTCACTGTCTATGTAACTTTGGTGTCTAAACTTGTCGTAGATGTATAGATAGTTGATGATCAAAAAGGGACCGGAGACAATGAATTTGAACTAATAGTTAGATACAGATTACATCAGATCCAGTGGTTTTAAACAAAAAGTCATTTGGGCAGTGGCAACTAAAATTCTGGGTTGGCTGTGGTGGCTATTTGTCTGAGTGTGAGCATTGAGCAACTCAAAGAGTAACTATACTCCCTATACAGTATAATGAAACAAGATTTGAATAGTTTATTAAAAACTAATTACCTGTATTCAGATGGATTGTTGGGCCACAAATGTGTAAGTAACTTGTTAAGCAGTTAACTGGATTAGAAGAAGTACAAAAAAAAATACAAATTGCAGTGGACAGAAAATAAAAAGGACGTCTCGGAGTCGGGGCCTGTGTTTCAACACAGTGTCCTTAAAGCAATATTNGTAAAAGAAAAATTCCAAAATGTGGTTTGCACTTTGTGACCAATTTTTAACTCATTCGGTCCGACATTCGTGCACGCAGATCGCGCCCACACAAGTTCAAGGCTTGAAGGTCACTAAACTTTATCAAATATTACTGCTCAATAATTGAACTTTAAAATATATGTCAATAGTTATTGAACTTTTCCAATATTATCACTTCATAAATAAACTTAAAAATGTATTTCAATATTCACCGAATTGTGCACCGTATTACCCATTTATTACTCAAGTCGACGTCATTTGTTGAATCTAATGAATTTTTTCACTTGAGTGATAGATGGATGATAAGATATATAGTTCAATAATTGTTGTGATACATTTTTAAGTTCAGTTATAAAATAATAATACTTGAGTTTGACGAATTTCCGTGACCATAGAAATCCCTTTTTAAACTCAATTATTAAGTAGTAATAGTGGGCAAATTTGAGTAACCATTCGCGTAATTAACCGTAGAGTGAGATCTGGCTTCTCAAAGAACACTATTATTCATCCTCTTTTAGCGCAGACTGCTCAAAATCTCAGAAAATTCTCGAAGCAACCAATGGCAGGCATAGAGGAAAACGACGAGTTCTACCTGCGGTACTACGTGGGGCACAAGGGAAAGTTCGGCCACGAATTCCTAGAATTCGAGTTCCGGCCCGACGGAAAGCTGCGGTACGCCAATAACTCTAACTACAAGAACGACACAATGATCCGTAAGGAGGTTTTTGTGACCCCTTCCGTCCTCAAGGAGTGCCGCCGCATTGTATCCGATTCCGAGGTAAGCCGCCTTGCCTTTTGAATTTCCATTCTTGTGGAATCTTTTATTACCACAAGGGTTTTAAGGATTTTGCCACGATAACATTATAATGTTGTTAGTTGGTAGTGAAGGATTTTTTTGGCTACTTTTTGTTTTATTTTCGAATAATAGGGTTTTCGTTGAAAATAATAGTAGCATATTGGGTTGCAGATAATGAAGGAGGATGACAATAATTGGCCGGAGCCCGACCGTGTGGGGAGGCAGGAGCTGGAGATTGTAATGGGGAACGAGCACATTTCGTTTACTACTTCGAAGATTGGTTCCCTCATGGATGTGCAGACAAGCAAGGATCCCGAAGGCCTCCGCATCTTTTACTATCTGGTTCAGGTTTGTACCAATTTTTTGCATTTACTTTTTAACTATGAATTGAATTTAGTTATACCTGTCATGAAATTTTCTTCCTATTCTTTCTCTTTTGGTTTTTGTTGAGGCATACTATTAGAGATTTGGATGATGAATGTAGTTTATGCATATGAATGGTGGTTATTTGGTTGTATATTTTGTTTTATGAATAGAGGCTTCCAATGAACAGGTGAAGATTTAGCATTTACTGCTCTACTAGTAGTTGAGTTTGCTTGCAATAGTCTATTATTCATTAATTATTGAAATGACTCTTTTTTTCTTTTGGGGCTGAGGGAGGTGTTAGTGAACTTCGTAAATCTCGTCGAGTAGTTAGAAAATTAAATAATTTGAAGTCTCTCACGTGCACAAAAGCTTGGGGTCAGTACATAGGGCATGTTTGGTACAGATTCTCATTTTCTACAGTAAATCAATTCTCATTTTCAACAACACATTTTTCAATAAAATAATATTTTCCATCACATTAATACTTTTTTCTTCTTTTTCAACCACACATTTCCCATCATATCACTATTCAAAAATCAATTATTCCCCCAAAAATCCCTACCAAACACACTCATAGTGACTAAATTGGAATTAGACTGTGTTTTTGAGGCATCTTTATCCCTTGTTTGAGCGTCCAAACTATACTTGAGCACGAATATTAAGTGCAGTTATATGTCTACATATAGGATTCATCAAACATCAAAACTTGAATATTTGGTCTTGGAAAAGATTTTATACTTTAATCCCCCGTTTGGTGCATATTTTTGGAAAAAAAATGCATTTTTACTGTTGGTGTGATGGGGAATATGTGGTTGAAAAATAAGGAAAAGTTATTGATGTGATGGAAAATATTATTTTATTGAATAATTTGTGGTTAAAAATGAGCAGAAGAATGAGAATGAAAAAAATAATGTGGGTCAAACAAGGCCTAAACTTCAATCTTTATTCTGTGAGAGGTATCCAACACAAGGAGAATGATTCAAAATGCATATTAGAATCTTAGTCACTGAACAAAGTAAATATACATGTACTTCGTATTTATGATTATTGCAAATATTGTGCACATCTGCCATTCCTTTGTTCTAAAATGCCCAAGGCTCTCTATGCACTCTAGAAGAATTATAAAACAAAAACTCAAGTGTCGTTTGGACCTTGAATTGCTTGAATGTGATATTTTGTGTAAAAAAAGGCAGAAAAATTAGTAAACAATACCTTGTCCTTTTATTTTTCATGATGCTGGATATGGATCAGGATCGCTAACGCTGTGTGAAGAACGATGTCTGATTGTAATATAGGAAGTATAAGTGAAAGGTTAGAGAGGTTTTAGACTAACATCTATTTTTATAAAAGAATTTGAAACCAAATGAGGCCGTTTTCTTTTGGGTTGCTTGTTTTGTTGTTACTGGAGGCACTTGGTGTTGAAGTGTGTTTTCAGGAAAACGTTTCTTGATTCTTTCATGTTTTGGTTGCTTGATTATGTGAAGATATAAATAGATGAAGAAATAAATCTGAAGATTCTTTTACCTGTCTCAAGGGAATGATCGAATGCAAGATAGTTATTTAGATGTTTGTGCTATATGGAATGGATAGCTTTACTACAACATAAGTGATGGATATATACATTTGGGCTCTGTCTCAAAGTGATGCTTTGTTATGATCTTTAACCTTCCAGAGTACAGAATGCGGAATCTTTTCAAGATATGTAATATTAAGAGGATCAATGAGTAAGAGAAGAAATAAATGAAGAAGTAATTAAGTACACTGTTTCTATTAGAAGGAAAAGATGATAGGTGCAGAAGAAGGAACTTGGAGGAAGCTTAATTTATAATCAATTCGTCTCCATGAACTAACAATATGCTTTTGGCTCTTTAAGAACAGAATAGAACTTCTGGACCATGGACTCAAAGTGGTTTGGCATTCTTACTTGATCTTTATATTGAATGAGCTAAACTACTCTCCAAAAGTTGTGCGAATAACTTGCTTTGTGTGTTTCTGGGAGTATCCATTGGTCTTCCGTTTGGCATCTGACAAGTTTCTTTTGATGTCAAAATTTCTTCAATTCATTGATCCGTTATTTGAATTAAGTTGTTGACTCGGTCATTTATTACATTACAATTAAGAATGACAAGCTAATGTGAGATTTTGTTCTATACTTGGGGAATCTGCTAGCTAGGGATTTATATCATTTTTTTTGTTATACCTTAGTGTGCTCTTTAGCCTTAACTAGATCGGTAAGTTGGTGAAAAATCCCCCAACCAGTCCTCCCCCCTCTTTCCCTACCCTACATACCAGCACACAGTTACATACGTGCTGAAACAATCTGTTGAGAGGGAGGGAGGGAGGGGGGCTCTTCACAAACCCAATAGAAAAAAGAACCAAATAAGAAGTTATTTTAATATTTCTTTTCAACAATGAAAATACTAAGAGATTGACAACTTCATTAGAATTAAAACCATAGAATATCAAGAGAGAGGTGCAAAGGATGAGGCCATGTGTTTTCCAGATTGTCTTTACTACAATTATACCCCGTGCATAGAATGTGATTTAAACACGGACAAAAGTTGCGCTAGTTTTTAGTTTGAATTTTGATGTCCACTATATACTGTATGAAATTTTGGACCTATCCATGATTTCAATCTATTTACTTTTCTCATTTAACTGTACGTGCGTTATTGTTCTCATAATCCTCGTGTTCCTGAATTATTGCCACGTGACTCTTTTTCCACCATAAAATTGCTGCCATTTTGTGGTACATTTGGTTTCTCCCACTTTTCATATAGGACGTTCATGTTCCTGTTTTATAATTGCAGGATCTGAAATGTTTCGTGTTCTCTCTCATCTCATTACACTTCAAGATCAAACCCATTTGAGGAACATCAATGATTCTAATCAATGAAGGTTGTCATTCTATTAGTTGTAACCTGAGTACTCTTTTTTAAATTTGACCTTTTCTGTGGGTGATCATTTTCTGGGACAAGTATTTATTGTGGTTTGTATGAGACTGTCGGGCAAGGTTTGGATTAAGGTTATAATGAGAATTAGTCGGTTTCCTTTAACTTTTACGATGTCTTTGGTCTTTTCTGAAACAAGTTTTAGTAGCTGTTTTTTGAAATTACTTCTTACCTATGTTTTTAGTACTTCCTGACTTCTGCTATATGTGCTTATTAGTGTGATCTCTGCTAACTTACTATGCCCTGTTTGGTAGAGATTCTCAGGACTTGTATGAATGTGAAGATGAGATGAAAATAAAGAAGTCATTCTTTGTAAAATTAGCTAGTGAAGTTATTTCTCATTTTCGATGGCCAACTTAGGTTGATTTTCTTCAAAACCATTTGGTAGGATTTTTGCTTATTGTAGAAAAGTTTTTCGAGAAAGTTAGCTTAAGTCAGTCTCTTCTAAAGTTCTTACGAGATAAATTACTTTCAGAAATTTATTCAAATAAGTTCAAAAATATTTTTTTATTCTTAGAAGACTTTCTAAAAATCTTTTCAAATTATCAGTGTTCTAAAAAGTGTAAAGTGCGGCGAAGCGTGAAGGTCGAGCTTCGACCTAAGCATTAAAAAGCGAAAGAAAGTGTTTTTTTTTTTGTAAATCTTAATGTTATTTTAAATTTTTAAATCAATCTAAAAATTAATTAATAATTAAAAGAAAAAATGTAAAAAAAGGTTGAAAGGCGAAAAAGCTAAAAATGCTAGCGCTAGATTGCCTAGGCGTGAATTTTTTTTAAAAAAATAAAAAAATGAAAAAGTGCAAAGCGAAACGTTTTTCTCCCGCTTCGAGCTTAGGCGATGTTTAGACGTTACTTTTTAGAACACTGCAGATTATAAGTTCCTCTAATAGAAACTTTTTAGAACACTGCAGATTATAAGTTCCTCTAATAGAAACGCATAAAAATGAAGGGATTGTATAAGCAGACATCTTTCACGAGCAAAGCAAAAGACACATAAGGGAAAATTGCGGTCGTGATACCAAATATTTCATTTAGTAGTAGATTTTACCCAACTTTTTCATTTGTGCTACCCACGGTATCAAACATTTTAATAATTCACGCCTGGAATCCAAACGGATGGTTTCCATCAATTTGACCGTTAGTTGACCATTTAAAAAAAAATTGACATCTTTTGCCAATGTATAGGGGGTAAAATGGTACTTTTATCACAAAAAGAATAAAAAAAATATTCTTCTTCTCCCACCTTTCACCTCCCAGCCCCAACCCCCAAAATCGATCCGTCGACACAGTTGCTATTTCAACCACGTCAACCAAAGCAAAGTAGATGGAGAAGTCGTCGGAGTTTTCACCTCAGGTGAAAGCTCCACCTTTTTTGGTTCTGGGGCTGAGGACTTCACTTGGCAGCTCGACCTTTTAAGCTTCAGACCTAGGGATTCAGATGGTGGCACCACCACACTTTCAGCTTCTGGAAATGGTGTTTCTTTGAAGGCCATGGAAATTTGTTGTCAGAGATCATTATGCGACAGCTTACTCGCCTGTATTTCTTCTTCTCCCACCATTCACCTCCCAGCCCCAACCCCCAAAAATCGATCTGTCGACACAGTCGCTATTTCAACCACATCAACTAAAGCAAAGTAATGAGTAGATTGAGAAGTCGTCGAAGTTTTCACCTCAGGTGAAGGCTCCACGTTTTTGGGTTTTGGGGCTGAAATTTCACTTGGCAGCTTGACCTTTTTAAGCTTCAGACCTAGGGATTCGGATGGTGGCACCACCACCCTTTCAGCTTCCGGAATTGGTGTTTCTATGAAGGCCATGGAAATTTGTTGTTGGAGATCATTATGCGACAGCTTGCTCGCCTGTTTCTTGCCAATCACCTTCGATCCGATTATAAACCCTTCGCTGAGCTCCAATTGTCCGACCTCTTCCACTTTGTGCAAAGTACAGTATGAAATTTGTCCATTACACTCCCACATGGTTAAAAATTAATGTTTATTATATTTTTCTAAAATGGTTGTAGTTGCTCTTTTGTGGTTTGATTTGAGTTTCAAAACTTTGGCCGGATATGAAGTTCCATATTTTTTTGGCTGGCGACAATAACTATTTGGAATTGGTAGGAAACGGTGGCAAATCTCGTGATTCTTTTAGAAGAGGTGGTCATCGTGAAGGTGGCGGTAATGATGGTGGCGATGGTCAGCGAGTGGCGACTGTTTGTTTTGGCTTTGGTTTTGGGTTGGGGTGGGTGAAGGCAATAACTGTTGAATTTGGTGTTTTGTTTTTGTTTTTATTTAATTATTATTATTATGTATTTTTATATTAAAATTGTAAAGTTACTATTTTACCCTTTTAAAAATTATTAGTCATTTTTAAAAAACTGGTCGACTAATGAAAACCATTCATCTTGACTCTAGGCATGAATTTTTAATAAGTTTGATATCGTGGTGGAACAAATAAAAGGTTCGGATAAAATATGTTACTAAAGGAAAGGTAAAATATGGTGGCTGCAATTTTCCACGCATCCACTGATCCAAGTCTTCAAGTCTTCCCTGCTCTGCTTTACTTTCTTTAAAACTCCAATCACTTTCCTCACACTGACGCGCTTACAGAGAGAAATGGGAATATGGGATATAATCAATTCAAGCACAGAAGCAGTGAAGCGAAATGCACCGGATTTAGCTCCGGTGAAGAACGCATGCACCACAATCGATAATACCGTCAGAGTAAACGGCCTTCAGAGGCTCGAACAGTGGCTTCCGGACGATGAGGCCAAATCCAAGATCGGTATCTTTGCTACAAAATTCGCTAAAAATGCTGGCTTCTTTGCCCTCCACGAGAGTTATAAATTGGTTCCCGGTTTGCTTCCATCTCACATACCACAGTTTCGCTTTCTAATTTTTGTTTATTCTTGAATGAAATGGAAAGATTGAGTATTTTATATTTACATTCTAATTCCATCTTAAAATGTCAATATAAAGACTAGTCTAATCCCTTGTATGCTGATCTATATTTTACATGTTTAAACAGACCTATTTTCAAATACGTAAGCTAGATTTTTGAGTCTGATCAAATTATTTGTTTGAGCCTAATGGACTACGATACCATATTCCATCTTAAAATATCAACCTAATCCAATCCTTTATACAGCCGATATAAAAAATTTCATTAACATTACTAAATTAAGAGTGTTGCTAACTTGATCGTCTGATCGTGATTGTTGACTGTACGCCTCGTAAAGATTTCAAAATATCTAATGTTTTTGGGGCTTATATTCTCTGTTTATTTGTTTACAAACATAATTATTGCTTGTGAGTGCAGGTGGAGTTGCAGTTTCCAACATTGTTTCTAAGACCATTGAAGAAGTAAAACGTGAGACCTTACACGAGACACCCAAGCAATTGGAAGGTAGGGACAGTGCACCAGGGAAACGATTCACTGGTGCGACAAAATTAATGGACAGAGAAGAGATGCGACCAGGCTCTCTTGATCTTGTTGATTCAATTGACAATCAAAAACCAGAAGACGTGATAAGAATCTTTATGATGAAACAATTTGTTGGTTCTCGGTTTTTGGATGATTTGATGGTGCCTAAACTGAGAAAAGGGAAGCAGCAGCCTGAGTAAATGGCAGTTGTTGGGTACTTGAACATCTCTTTTGTGTTTTTTAAGATTTCCACTGATTTTCAACATCTTTCATGTATGGAATACTGTGGTCTTAATCTGTGTGTGTAGGAGTATGTGTCTGACTCGTGTGTCCCTGTGCTGGTGATATGCTGAAATTCCCTATAATATTTATGTTTATTAGGTGTTTCTATACCAATCTATGGCATTATATGAAAACTCTGCTAGGTGATTTGGTGGGATCAACTCTATATTAATGTAGAAAAAGAAGTTAAAATCTTGTTAAAGTTGGCCATGTGGCAATCATTTATGGATTCTTTCCATCTGCATCTGCTCAAGGGTTAGTAACATTAAGAAAGTCGTCTTCATCCTATTTTTTCCAGGGTGGGAGCTGTTATACCAAATGGACTACAGTACCACATCAGAATGTGATAAACCATCTATAAAGGTCTTCAAAGACATCATCATACTACCATATAACATATTCGGTTGACTCTTCTGGTTGACACATTTGCCTTATTTACAGACCAGAATGAATGAAAACATTTTTCTGATCACTTAACTCAGGGACTGAACTCTTGAGAGGGTCATCGGGGAACTGTTTCACATGTTCCAAATGTTCTGTTCTGTGAATTATCTCATTTCGCTGCTTTATCTTATTCTTGTCTTTGCATTTTCTCCGGTGTTGCTTGCATTTCCTCCACCGCTACATAATTTTGCTTCTTGTTCCCATCAGAACGCTTATGTTACTCGCATCTTCTTGCATTTTCTCTAGTGTAGCTTGCATCTCTTCCACTGCCACATAATTTTGCATTTTATTCCCATCAGAACGGGGTGAAATGGCAGACCCTTTAACTTTTCCTTCACATTTGCATAGACTTGCTTTCCACCTACAGATAATTTAGCAAGATGAGAAGGAGATTTAAGTGAAAGTGAACAAGTACATAGTCTGGTAAATTTGTTCTTTTGCTGGTTGCAGTCCGGCCTATGCCAGTGCAATTCATACCAACATATATATGGAAATCCAATTGCCAAAGTCTTTGGGTGGCAGTTTGGGTGGTTGGCATAGGTTTTAAAATGGGGGCATTATCCTGTTTGCCAGGTTAAATTAAGATGTTCGCCAGTGCTCTTCCACATAAAATCAGCTTGTCAAAGGCTTCCAAGAACCTTAAGAGGGCACGTTTGACAAGAGTTCTACTTTTGTTTTTGTTGGAAAAAATAGATAAATTGAAGGGCTGACTTTGGCATAAATTTCGAGTGGGATCTGTTTGTTTATATTGACTAATCAAACAAGATTTCTAGAAATTTATTTAAACATCTTAGTCTCAAAACTAGAATTTGACTTTTCAAAAGTATCGTCAAACCGACCCTAAACAGACCCTAAATAAGGTGGTGAATCTAATAAGCCAAGAAAAATAGCTTGAGAATCCAATCCACGTTAAATAAATGTGTGATTTTTGCTTTAAATTGCATGTGTGGTTTGTTCGACTTTGATCCACTAGGTTTCAAGAATACGAGTTTTGATCTACTTAGATTTCGATGAATTGAGGTTAAAAATTTTACAGTATTTACTAAATTGTGGCAAATAAAGAACATTTTCAGGCATAATTACGGAAAGATATTTGCAACATGACTCATTATTCTTGAACCCAAATTCAGAAATTCAGAAACAGATAATTGTAATATTAATCACACGCCTCCTCATATTTGGCATCTTTAGTCATTTTGGCCTTCTCAAGCGTATGTTTGATAAAATTTAAATCAAAATTTAAGTTGATCAAAATATATGTATAATTTAAACATTTCGTGAAATTCACAACTATTACTGGAATTGTCTATTATTCGCATATTTCACATGACTTGCAATTATAATCTACAAAATATTCAACCAAACATAGTTCGATCCTAGCTTATATTATCAACTCTACAAAATAATTTGCAAACTTTATGGACAAAGATAATTTTTTATATAATTTACTCCAGACATGGTTAATATGGGATTGGATTGAGTTGCACATTACAAAAAAGAGAGACAATTTTTTTCTGGAAATCACCTTATTGATAATAAAAACATAAATTTAAGAACTTAAAAGGAAAACTTGAAGTCCGACTTTCAATTACGGAAAAAAATGAGAAGAACCACTATATCTGTTGGAATACACGGGAAAATCACTGATCGCCAGTCATGTGTAGGTTTTCATCGTTACTCTCAAAACTAAGGCTATCTATGTCCATGAGTATGCTTGTCTTCACTTCTTCCTCTTCTCAAACCTAGTCAATAGAATTTAGAAGAAAAAAACAGTATATTCGTTAAATTTGTAGCATTGTAGAGAGAGAGAGAGAGAGTTAGGGTCCTTGAATTTTGGGTTCTTATTCATTATAATTTATGTCATGTTCCACAGTCAGATTCCATCACTAGAAAGTGGTATATTAGTCTATAATGCGATCTTGTTATACTTTTTCATCAGCATATTTGCATTTGTATAACCATAACACATTTGATAAATTCAAAGGATAATTGCAACAAAAGCTCCAAACTTTTACAACACTACAACAAATCAAATGTTTGAAAAAAGTTTGTTAGTGTTTTAAAGGTTTGAAACTTTTGCTGCAATTATCCCTAAATTCAATCGATACATGCCATTTGCTAAACAACTTTGGGTTTGGATTAGTATTTCTCTTAATTAATGTGTATGAATTAAAAAACTACTCGTAGTATAAAAATTGGGAACAATACATAAATTATACATATTAAAATCACATTTCAAAATTAACAAACTTGTTAAATTATTTCAAAATTCATGTGTTAATTCCAATTAAGTAGATATGATATATAATTACCCCACCCCTACCTTGCAGAAAAATTTCAAAAATTAAAAATATCAAGTCACCGACATGTCATCCCTAACTTATTGTGACAAAATTTGTATTCGGTGTGACTGTCTATGACCAAATCAATGTTAATCGTGACAGTATGTGATCAAGTCACAATCAATCACAATTAACACAGAATTGGTCACAACCAATCACAATCGGTTACAATTAATACATAATTTGTCACAATCAGTCACAATAAACACATATTTGATCACGAATGGTCACCACAAACAAATCCGCTTACACCATGAACAAGCACCACAATCTACCAGTCATTACCACCATCACCTCCAATGCACCCCCACTATCACCTTCAACTCAAATTTATGACCAACACCATCAATAAAATCAAGAAGACCAACTTCGATCAAACATAGACAAAATGTGGTGGCAATTACGAATTATGCTACGAAGTATTGCAATAACTCAACGCATTGAAGCCGAAGTATTATAACTACAATTACGAACGAAGTATTGCAATAACTCAACAATATTGAAGCTAAAGAAGAGAGGAATTTGTTTGCAAATGTCTAAATACAATTGATTCATAACACCAGAAAGTAACTACTATTATTTTATCAAAACATAAAAAGAAGAAGAAAAATCACGTCAACGGCAATAAGAAGTTCAAATTTCTGTCCAGTTGAAATCTCATTGCACAATTCATCCGTGATGCCACAAATCGAGGTTGAGGCTGCAAGGCCACAACAATCAATCTTCATCATTTTCCTTAAAAATCAATCAACGTACCCAAATGTAAACAAATATACTTTTCAAGCCCGAAACCATAAAATAATTCTTCAGAAAAATAAAACCTAGAAATTAAAGCTAATATACGAATTTAAAACAAAAATGTAGTATTACATCAAAAGAGCGTATGAGCATAGCGGTGATGGCGCAACGCCGCATGCAGGAAACTCCGGTCGGCGCAATGCTGCCTGCAGTCAACGATGCGCACGACGGTAGGGCATTGTCTGTCGACGGAGCTCTCTTGGCGGTGCGGTGGTCCTTCGTTAATGGTGAGAGAGAGAGAGAGAGAGGAGGAGATAAGGGAGAGGGATAGGGAGAAGAGATAGATTAGGGTTTGAAATGGTGGTGGGTGGATAGTATATGGGTTAGGTATATGATTAATTTAATTTTATAATTATTATAAATTTAATTTTTCACCTGATTTTTGAAAAAAATAGTTTTATACCTTATGTTTGAATTTGAAAGTTTAATGGTAGGATTTTGTGTAATTTTCCACCTGATTTTTGAAAAAAATAGTTTTATACCTTATGTTTGAATTTGAAAGTAATGGTGGGATTTTGTGTAATTTTTCCCGTAAAAATTCCATCTATTTTACCAATCAATTGTGAAGTCCATTGGCTTGTGCACCCCGCTGCTCACAATTGAATGTAGTAAAAATTTAGATGCCAATTATTCTCGTGTACAAATGTCTTATTAATGGGTAAAGTTGATATATATTTCCATGGATACTAACTTTTATTTTAAAACAAAATAATTAACTTTTTTATAAGTAATAAAATAATTACTTATTTAGACAGATATGAATGATTTATTCATTTTCAACTTTCGCTTTCAAAACTATTTTTCAATCTAACATTCACTTATAAATTTTTTAAGCTTAGCCAAACAGTGCGCATTCTTTTGTTCCCTTCTCCTCTCCTTTGCAGTTCGAATCCCCTTCCATTGCTTCAGCAGCGACGCTTTTGCCCCTATTTAATAGAGAATCACATCACATATACATACACAAATTGCATATATATACACAGCTGTAGAGAGAGAAATTACTTGCAGATAGAGAAACAGGGAGATGGAGGAAAAGGGACAGCACGAACAAGATGACACCGCGTACGACGGCGAAATACCTGATGAAGAGTACATGGAGGCTGATTTTGATTCTGATGCTGGGGCTGAACCCGATGCTGACTCCAAAGCCAAGGTATGTTTCTGTGGGTTTATCTGTGTGTGAGTGTATGTGCGTGTATATGTATGTGTTGTTATGTTTATGTTTGTATGCATACGTGTGTTGGCGTTTGATTTTATTTGGGGTTTAAATTGTAGGAGTTGGAAGACATGAAGAAGAGATTGCAGGAGATTGAAGAAGAAGCAGGGGCACTGCG